ATGGCATGATGCTTTTTCTATGCCTTTTTCGCCCTCTTTTTTTCATTTTTCTCTGTGGGCATTGTCTTCTAGATGGATGATTACAATGCTATTTGTTCTGTCTCTGCAGCTCTAATGATATTTCAAATTTACCTATTTCTGGAATTGTATTTGTAAGGAAGCATTACGATCTGTTTAACATTCCTTGGACTATCATAGTAATTGAAGGCTTCTACTTGGATTCAAGCATTCGTTTGCCTTCCAAGCTCCTAACATCAAGTTTTGGTGGGTCTATTTCATTAGAACTTACTAGGAAAGCTGTTAATGCAGTGCTTGGTAGAACTTTCTGTTTTGGTATGTATACAAAACTGATTTTGGATGATCAGGTATTTTACTTTGTCCGTCTTGGTTTGTGTTTAGTGTGCTGTACATGACATTAACTTTGGTATGTCGTTGCTGCTACTGTGAGCAGTTTGAAGTCCCTTCTATACAATCTTGGGATGTTTCCCCCAATTGCTGCTTAATCATATCTCAAGTGTGTCATCCTAGTTTTCTTGTGTACCAATCTACCTAAGGTCACAAATAGTTTTTGCTCTGCAGGTGATTCATTATGAGCTCCCAAATTCTTCAGAGATCTTCGTGCATAGGTCTGGTCGAACAGGACGTGCAGGGAAGAAAGGAACTGCTATTCTCATTTACTCTTCAAACCAGTATAGAGATGTTAAGACTATTGAGCGGGACATAGGGTGCAGATTCACAGAGGTACTTGTTGTGTTTTTTGGTTATGTTGCAATTAAGTTTCCAGTTTGTTGAAGTTTACTGCCTGGATATTGCAGTTGTACGCAAAAGCAACATTGGATGTGAATTGGCGAGTCTCCTAACTAGTTTCATTCAGTTTATAGTTCATATCTTAAGAGAGAATTTGTATTTGGCTAATAAATATGAACCCTGTTTTCTTATTTGTAGTCAAAGTTACTTCCAGAATTCAAATTACAAATTGGCTGCAAGTTTTTTAAGTTTGTTGATAGAGTGACTTCCTACAATTAGATGTAGTTCTGTATAAAAGTATTGTTAATAGTACCGTGATTATTGCTAATGGCACTCCATCTGCTATTAATTTTTTGCAATTACACATTAAGAAAATGGAGTGCCATTAGCATTAACACTCTTTAAAATTGCCGCAAACTTATTTGAATTCGTTGGATGAGAACTTTATTATTATTTTTTTTAATTTGGAATTGGAATGAGAACTTCTTAGTGGACTCAAATAAAAATGGGTTAAGACTAATACTGTGTAGGATTGCTTGTGTTGGTATACCTGGATAGTGTTAAACATGTGTGTGATGTTGAAGAGCTCAAACCTCATTGAACTGGCTAATGACATTCAACTTCTTGTCATACCAGTAAACTTATATGTGATTGCTCTGACAATTAACTGCTCAAACAAGATTACAATGCTATTGATTCATGTGTTTTGTGAAACTCTTTTTTTCATTTTGTAACTAAGACGGGGAATCATTAAATATGTTGGCAGTAGGAAGAAGGTATATAGGATGTTGTATATGGTGTTTTCAATATGTGGATTTCCTTTCTTCCTACCATCATCCCAATGGCATAAAATGTTTACATCTAAGTGCAAATATAATTAGCACTAACAAGGTTTGGTTGTTTATGTTGCTATTGCAAAGCTTCCAAGAATTGTTACTGAGGGTGGGTCATCGGACATGTTTGATGGCTCCTTCGGAAGCATGGGCGGTGGTCGTGGTTCAAGTTTTGGTCGATCTGGGAGCTTTGGTAATTCTGGGAGTGGCCGTTTTGGTGGATATGGTGGGTCCTCCTCTGGTAGACCAGGTGGTTTTAGCGGATATGGTTCACGTGGTGGATTTGGTGGTCGTAATTCCGGTCAGTCAGGCAATTTTGGCGGGCTTGGATCTAGCCGTCCAGGTGGTTTCGGCAATCAGAGAGGTTCAGATCGCACAGGTAGCTTTGGAGGTCTGGGTGGCCCAAGTCGTTCAACTGGCTTTGGGGATTTTGGTTCTGGTCTTAATAGCAGCAGATTTGGTGATACAAGTTCTGGTCAGGGTCGTTCAGCAGGCTCTGATCCTTCTGGTGATGACATGAATTTTGATAATCAGAAGTCTGGGAGAAAATTTTTCTAACTTCAGTATGAGGTAATTTTGGTTCTCCCTTCCTGCCAGCCTTTATCCTCTGTGTTCAGTTGTATCTGACCCAGAAGATGTATTTACCTCTAAGAAACCGAATATTAGCTGTTCAGTTAGTTAGTTGTCACACCTACTATCTGGACATCCAAATGAAATGACAATGTACAAGACAAGTAATATTTTGATCGTGCATTGTTATGGTTGACAAACTGCTGATTTCTTTTCTAGTGCTGTCTGGCTCTAGCATCATGAAACTAAGTTTTAACCAATATACACATTACAGGCATGTAGTTAAAGCAAAGAGTGCAGGCAAAAGGGCATCCCTTCTTAGCCTGTTTAGTGCATTAAAGCAGTGATAGACAATATTACAGCTGAAGTGCTGAAATTGTAGGTTGCAGTCTAGTGCCACCTTGTGTGGATTTCTGACAAGTTGTTCAGTTTTCATTGCTTGTATTTGATGCACCCTCCTTTTATTTTATTGCTATAGGGTTTTATTTGTTGCTCTCTCATGGATGAGAAGATTAGAGAAGATAGCTACGGTGGATTGACTGTCAGGTGGGCCGAAGGTTTAAAGTCCATTTTGTGGCACATTGGCATTACCTCTCAGCCCAGGTTTACAGTACCAATTTTACTATACTAGTATTTATTGTGCTTGAATATCATTAGATAATTAACCCACCACCTTTTATTATTATTGCATAGAAAAGTTCCCATGTGTAATATATTTTAGCCAATCGAAGGTCGTTCTTTTTCCTTTTTCAAAGATCGCATTGTTAGCCTTGTTTATATTTTTTTTTATTAGTCACGATTCCTGTCAAAAGTAAGTCAAAGTGCTTGAAATATTTGCTTTCCATTTCCTTGCAAAAATTATTGCCTACTGCAGCTGCTAACGCATACATAATGCCATTGCGCTGACTTCTATTTGAAGTTGATTTTTTTTCTTTTTTTGGTTTTCTAATAAAAGCTTGAAGTTGCTATTTTGATACATGTTTCACTCAGTTCATATTTTTGCAACTGCTACCCCCCCCCCCCCTCTCCCAGAAAAAGAAAAAAGAAAGTGTCTTTGTCACTGCTGCTCCTTAATAGGAAATTGCACACTCCGGAACCCCACTTCAAAGTAATCTGGGTGGATTTGAAGGAATATATTTCAATTCCGGTGGGTCAAGGTGTTTGACCTCTTGAATCATGGTTGCCAATTGTTAGCAAAAATGATTTTCAAGTGCACTTTGTCTTTAAGCATGAGTTTGTATCAGGATGGAGATACTGGTGTTCTACTTTCACTAAGCATAGCAGGAAGAAATTCGCTTGCAAACAATAGTGCGTTAACCTAGGGGTCAAGCAAACAATATATATGTATTTGTCACCATCACATGTATATTTGTTAGGCCAAAGCTTACGCCTGAACCCCCTAACAATGTTAAATTTTTCCTGCAAAATTCTATTCGAAATAGTATACCAATCCCACAGCCCACAGGCGTTGTAGATAATAATAATAAAAAAAAAGGATAATTGCAAGGGCAAACTGCAAAGAAACACAAGGAATCAGTTGGGACCTTGTGTGATTTTCTATTAGAGGATCGTTTGGCCTACCGTCGTGTCTAGCTGTTAAATTTATTTGGTTTTTAGTGGTAGGAGCCAACTGCATGGTTTTATTGTCCAAATGTTATTGTTTGTGGATTTCAACATAATTTACTCCATGTTTGTTTCTTCTTCTTCTTCTTCTTCTTCTTTTAAAAAGCTTAATTTAGTTAAAATGGTTGTCTTGCGTATCATTTATTTAAGGAAATTTTGTCTTGCTATGGATACCTAAACGCAAAGAATGAAAGAAATAGATACAAAAGAATAAGAAGTAAATGGTAGAGAGACATATGTTGACACCTTGCGAAATGGATTAAGAGTGTATTTGGTGAGAGGATCAACGCAAAGATCCTCTTAGCATTCTAAATCTTGTGTGTTCGGACAATTATTTCATTGGGTTTGAAGTCCCTCTCTCATTCTTCTCTTAGCCGGTTGAGAATATCCTATTTTTTTTGGTAAAAGATGAATTTAAACTATTCAATATTCGAATCGAACTCGATTTGATAAAAGTTGGCTCGAGTTTGGTTCATCAACTAATCAAATCAAACTTGAGCAGCATTTTGTGTTTAATAAAATTCAATTTCAATAAAATGTTCGTTCAAAGTCGGTTTAACAAACTTGAATAAAATTTCAAATTCTTTAAAATAATTAAACAAGTTTGAACATTAGAATATTTGACTTGATTAGTCTCATTTTAAATTCCTATTATCTTCTTTTTTTTTTTTAATTAAAACGATATATTTTATTCTACATTTAATTCTACTCCATACAAGAGGGATCTAAAGAGTTTAAAAGGGAATTTGGAGAAAATTGAACCATCATCATTCCAAACGGGTGTCTATGCACCTACTGGTAAAATTTTCAAGAAAGTTTAGATATTTAAAATGCACACGTCCAAGTAGAACTTTAAAACTCTTTTGATAATCAAACAGTTGGTTTTATGCCCTTTCGTCTAATTACTTTAGAAGTAGTTAATTTTAAAAAACAAATTGTTAAAATCAGCACTTAGCCCGATAACAATACTAATAAAGTTGACCAAACCAGTCCGACCATAATACTTGAACCAAAACAAACATAAAGTTCGTAGAAGAATTACCTAAAAATAAAAATTACTCGTGACCAAGAAGGAAAAAAAAATGCTAAACTCAACAAGATCATCATTTTTGCGTCTGCAGCAAGAACCCCAATTCCGTCTTTCTTGCACAAGAGTTGATTTACACTTTCTACAAATAGAGCATCCTTTTGACGGCGAGAAATATGGTGGGTGTTGTGGTGGTAAGCCAAAAGGCGGCAGTTCATCCTGGTCTTGGTTGTCGTCTGAGAAATTTTTTCCCAATACTATAATCAACGTGCATTTGTTTTCTTGTTCTAAACCAAATGATGATGATGAACAGTAATTTAATCAGCTCAGTAGATACATTAATAGTATGACAAAAATCCATCCAATTATGGTTTTTTTCTAATCAAATTTTAACACAGTCGTCAATTTCACACCTATCCAAATCAACCTGTAGCCTTCGTCCCCTTGTTGCCGTCCCAATATTCTATCATCCAATTCCCTCCCGAATATTCAATCCTCATAAATTCATCACCAAAAACCCTTCTCTATAAATTCACGTTCACACCAGAAAACCCAAGAAACTGCTGCCAATGCAACTCATTTTGACAGTAGTTTTATCGGTTTGAAGTGTTTTTCTTTGTTTGGACTGGAAAAGGAGGAAAACCCAGCTGGGGAAAAATGAGGAAGAGGCCGTATAGGAATGGGGAGATATGGGATTTTGAAGCTGAAATGGAGCTGAGTAATAATGATAGTCGTTATAGGCAACAGGCTGTTATACTGGGTTTGGATGGTGGAACCACCTCCACTGTGTGTGTTTGCATACCCTTCAATTACACTTGCACTGATAATAATGTTAATAGTGAGGATGGCCCTTTGCCGGAGCCTCCTTCAGTCCTCGCCCGGGCTGTAGCCGGCTGCTCGAACCACAATAGTGTTGGCGGTAATAAACCAACTTCCCCTTCTTTCAAAAAATACTGAGTAGCTTGCTCATTTTTTTTGTCTGGGTGGTCTAATGCATTGGTACAGAACTCCTATGATAGTCTGAAGCGTAGTTTACTAAGGCACAGGTTAAACAGGTAGAGATTTTAGCATTTCTTTTTCGATTTTTGGGTTGTATTGTTCGTCACTATTGGGGTTTCAATGTTGTAATTTGGCTGATCATTAGTCTGTGTTGTTCTCGATTTACGTTAATTTGTTTCAGAAGGAGGAGCTTTTTGTCTATTTGACATATTTAAGTGGTGGAAATACGGAAAGATTTGGAACATGTGTTGAAGTGACGGAACAGGGGAAGTTTGAATTTTTGCTGTGGATTTAGGTAGTGGAGTGTTTTGAAGCCAAAAGTTGTAGAATTTCCATTGAATGTTGATTCTATTTGTGCCATTCAAAGTTGAATTGCTAGGTAGCTGATCATCGGGGTGCATTCTAGTTAAGTACTGCTCTCAAGCCTCACATGAATCATGACTGCGTAATGGAATGTAGCCTAAGTAAGAGGTTCATTGAGCGCCTTTCAAATGTTTACGGTTTGGTGTCATACCAGTCTGATCAAGCCATTTTGTGTGTCCTAACTTTGTCAAATTGATGAAAGATGTGTATATCCCATTTTGTTTAAAATTTCCCTTTTGAATACAAATTCTGTGACTCCTATACAAGATAATTAAGGTTGTAGACTTGCCCATTTGGTTCTCAATCTGGTTGCAAAAAGTTCAACGCTATTGGTGTATGAGCCTATCTGAGGCAGTGACAACTTGGCTGCTATGAAGTATCATGAGAGGCCTTTCCTTAGGTTTTTCTTTCTGACTCTCATCTTATCAGTCCACTTTTCCTTATAGGAGTGATCTTTATGAATATGAAAAAGTGTCCATGCCACAATTCTTGACCTTTTGAGGTGGAAAGAGTAGATGTGAAGGTTTCATTCGAAGCTTGAATTGTTGACAGATTACTAGTAGCATGAACTTCAATGGGAAAGCAAATAACAGAAGCTCAAGAAGTTTGCTTGTGTGCTTTGTAGAAGTTAAATAAATCTTGCGCAAACAGTTGTATTACCAACTTTCCTCGAGTGCAGCATGAGGTTTCTGGTGAGATAAATATCTCTAGTTGGACTGGCAGTATATGTCCATGCGCAGTTCAGTATATGTCCATGTGCAGTTACAGTGTATGCTATAATCTGACGGTGATTTATATATGATGATCAATGGACTATGGCCTAGTTAGGCTCCCAGCAAAGAAAGAGGGGTGGCAGAGTCAACTCGATGACTTCTACTTTTGGTTTTGTTGAATATGATTGAAATGATTGCTCTCAGATCTGAAATTACAATCCATTACCCTTCTAATATAGTTATATTTTTCATTATCATTTCTTGCTGTTGGCTTCTTCATTATTATTATATTTCTCAAACCGTTGTTTTTTAATAGAAACTGCTGCAAGGGAGACATTAGAGAGAGTTATGGCAGAAGCTCTTCTAAGATCAGGTTCAACTCGTTCTGCTGTCTTAGCTGTTTGTCTTGCAGTATCTGGTGTTAACCATCCAACGGATGAGTACCGAATATTAAGTTGGCTCAGGTCCTTCTTTTTCTTGCATCTATTTACTGGTTTATAGTGTTGCAAAATGTTTTGAGACTTCTACGTTACTTTTAATTTGTTTAACCAACTTAGTTTTTCCTCAAGGGGCTAATCTACCTTTATGCCAACTTCTGTGGTACCTAAGACATAATTGTGGAATAAGAAACTTCAGTTGCAAACAACTCAAAAGGACATAATAAATAGTTTACTTAGGGTAGCAGCAAGTGCGAACAGTGGATACATCAGATATGGGTATTCAGGAATGGCCAACTCAATAGGATACCTGTTTATAGAAATTTATTTTGAATAAAAGCTTAACATGTTGATGACACATCTTTTGCATCTCCCGATAATGATATTATCTTTTTCCATTTGTCTGTGCAGACAAATATTCCCCAGCCATGTAAGGTTGTTTGTCCAGAATGATTCGGTGGCAGCTCTGGCAAGTGGCACAATGGGAAAGCTTCATGGATGTGTCCTAATTGCTGGTACTGGAACCATTGCTTATGGCTATACAGAAGATGGGAGGAAGGCTCGGGCAGCTGGTGCAGGACCTGTCCTTGGTGATTGGGGAAGGTATATCATTTCGAGTTTTATACTTGATTTGAAACCTATAGGAGAGTTAGTGATACCCAGTCAAGAGGAAGTATTAGGGAGTGTGACTATTTAGTGGCAAGCAGCTCAATTACATATCCTCAAAAATACCATTTGATTACCCGATGAGTATCTTTACTAAATCAGCTTGATTCTTCTTTTCTATCTTAATGAATAAGTCACAGCGTGTAGAAACCCCTGTAGGAGGAAATACTTTCCCACCTTCATCCATTTCTATGTTATTATTCCTAGCCTAAGAGAACATCGACAGGTCTTGTTGCATTGTGCACTATTTCTGGTCATAGTCTTGTAGTGTTATAAAATTTGGCAGATATGTTTTATGAACAGACAAAAGACGATGCACTGTGCATAATATATAAGAATCAGATTAATCTGATTATCTTGAGGAAGAGAAGACTAAAATTTAGATTAATTGAGATTGTAATTATATGGATTTCATGTGGTAGATTGAGACACAATGTGGCCCTAAATACATTTCATATAAGAATCAGGTTAATCTGATTATCTTCTTTGTAAAACGAGATTATAAAGATTTTCAAGCCAAGTCCTTGATGTATAAATTGGTTCAATTCTCTCTTTCTTGTAATTACCAGATTGCAAGGACTAAAATATCAAATCGAATTTCAAACGGATACCATTTTAAAGCTTTGAATTGATCTTTTCCCATCTTTGGCTGCCTAAGTTCTATCTCCTCTACACTTTCAGCGGCTATGGTATTGCTGCACAAGCATTGACAGCAATTGTAAGGGCTCATGATGGCCGTGGTCCACATACAGCACTGACAAATTGTATTCTACATGCCCTTGATCTATCTTCACCAGATGAACTTATTGGGTAAGTATCTCAAACACAACTCATCTGCAGAATATCTATACCTGTAGTGACTGTTTTGCTTTTTGGAACTGATTAAGTTTTGTACCTAATCATGATAGTAAGCACAATCATTTCCATTCCTAATTAATACTTGCATATCTGGACAATTTGCTTTGCCCTCAGATAAGGGGACCTCAGTCTGAATCAAATAGACAGCAAAAATGTGGTTCCCACAATTAATTCAGCATGTTCATCCAGGAAGGGTATTCAAGTTACTTAAATTGATGATTTACAAGCAGCATATGGTTAATTGTGGTAGTATATAATCAACTTACTGTTTGCATGTAGTCAGACTACTGTTGAGTTCCAGTTTGATCTCATCAATGTGCCCCCTGGATTTGCAGTTTCCCTCACTTTACTCAATGTGACAGCCAGCTGTCTAAGCTTTTGGTTGTTAAAGTTGTATGTTTCTCACAGCCAAATATAATGACTTGTTTAACCCACATAAAAATGATTTGCTTTCATCTGGATAGACTTCCGACATGTGAATAAATTGTGTATTTGTCGTTGTATGTATCCCAATCCTCACTATCATGGACACTTTCCTTTCCCTGCCGGAGTGCAGCATTCTTCATCTTCCAAATAAGAAGAAAATAGTGAGAGATATAAGGAAAAGCTTGAATAAACAATTCCAACTGCTTGCTATATTATATTGACCTTACCATGCTTAGGGAGCAAACCTAAACTACCATACATGCATTTCATGTAGCCCAAACTGCTTTGAATCACTACCCTTCCTCAGAGTGTTGAATTTACGTTACTCCTTTGCATGATTGGTTAGTTCAGCCAACTACTATTTGACAACAATTAAAATTGCTGATGAGGTATTATTGCATTATGCTTTTAGGTGGACATATGAAGATCCATCTTGGGCTCGAATTGCTGCTCTTGTTCCATATGTGGTCTCTTGTGCAGAGGCAGGTGATCAAGTGGCAAATAGAATCCTACTGGATGCAGTTCAAGAGTTGGCCTCAAGTGTCAAAGCAGTTGTTCGGAGACTGGGGCTCTGTGGTGAAGGTATGCTCTCACTCTCAAGAGTTGGAAGTACGTTCTCTCCCTCTTGTGTGACTAGTAGTTTTTTGCTAGAGAGAGAGGGTTTCTATATGGGAGTTATGTCCAACTTTGCTTGAAAGTCCATCAAGAGATGGATGTTCTAACAAGTTAAATTGACTTTCCAGTCGTATTTCTCTTTATTTAAAAGACTTTTATTTCTCACAACATGGTTTACCCAAGATTTGTTACTTCTCTTAAAATTTTAATCAAGCATTTATTTTAAAAATTTAATCTTGTCTCTGCAATTTGCAATTTCTTTTAATTTTTCTGAATAAGTATAAATTTTATGACTACAGATGGAACAGATCATTTTCCTCTTGTTATGGTTGGTGGTGTTCTTGAAGCAAATAAAAGATGGGATATTGGAAAAGAAGTAATAAATTGTATATCTAAAGACTTTCCTGGTGCTGTTCCCATCCATCCAAAGGTACAGATAAGTGTATCCGAATGTTTTTTTTTCAACTTTCAAATTCACTGCTTTTATTACAACTCCAGTGACAAGGATTTTGCTTATTCTTATACTTCAGATGTTAATTAGAAAGAAATAGTACCAGAGTTTATGAAATATTGTCATGAGGGGAAACGTCAATTAAAAGTAATGACTTGTTCCATATATTATAAGTGTATATATCGTGCACTGTTAAGCAACACAAGATATTAAATATGCTACTGATCTTAGTTTGTGTTTACTTGTGGTTCTGATATTGATACCTAGAATATATTCCAATAATATGCTTGGTTGATATGGTAAATATGTCAAAAATGAAGCTATTGATGCAATAACCAAGGTTTCTGATTTAGTCGGACTTGTTAGTTTACTAAACCTTTCTATTACTTCCAGTTAGCTATTTCTGAAGGGGGATGTTTTATTCTTGTTCTTTAAATGTGTTCTTGTAAAAACAAACTTCTAAGTTTGATACATAAGCCCATAAATCTTTTTGGAAATATATCACTTTCTGCTGTGTGTGGGATAATAGAAGTTGAAAGCAAATTTTCATCTGGGAAACATAGGTTTCTGCTGCGAAATTCTTCAATTTAAACTGGTTCAATCACCTTTTTGTCTCCCCTAATAAGTCAAATAATATCCTCATTAGAAGACCTTGCCATCAAGAAAGAAGGGTTAATTAAGCAAGGCTAATGACCTGGTTTAAATTTTGCAATTTATTTGAGCATTAGTTGTACTAAACGTGATCATCTAATGATTTTATTGACAGTGAATAATGAACTCTGATGCCTTACATCTGTTTGAAGGAAGAGGATAAGAAATGCTTCTCTTTAGCTTTTATAATTTATCTTTTGTATAGACAAAACTGAAGTAGTTTTTTCTTCAGATCATTTATTTGTAGTTCTAGCTTCAGGCTTGTTCTTGAATCTAGTTGTCCTTTGGTTTGGTTTTGAAATTTGATGCACAGTCCATTTGGAATTGATTTCTAATTTAGGTGGAACCAGCAGTTGGTGCTGCATTGCTTGCTTGGAATTTTTTGATAAGACAAAGTCGAAAGGATGCTATCAGAAGTTGATTACTGAAGATTTCAAGTTGTACAGTAGCAAGGATAAATGGGGGAAAAAAAAAAGAGGAAAAGCACCCCCCCCAAACAAAAAATGCACAGTAGTGACTTATTGCTTTCATTTTTCACACTGTCATATTGTGAAATTGTGTTATCATAGTTGTCATACTAATTTGGTTTTCGAATTTTTTTTTGGGATCTTTAGTCTCGTTTTTGTGTGTTATCCACTATAGGGTTCTATTGTTATTAGCCGGGTTCTCATGTCAGAAGTTGTGAAGATTGAGATTCTTGGAATAAGCATATTTCCTTTCTGGCTGGTGTTTCCTACTCTTATCCTCTTGATTTTTTTTTTTCTCGTTACAGAACATTTATTGAACTGAGTTTTATATTGTTGTATTGCAATTAAACACCAATTTGTCAAACCACATAATGCAGCGCTGCCCCTAAGTTTAGATAATCTGCCTAAAACATGATAGTGTAACATAATAAGTTAGCATATATGTCTTGAAAGAAAAAGGAGAAACTTGTGGAGATTGAATGCAGGAAGGGGTTCCAGAGACATGAAACTATCACTTGTCAGAAATGAAAATATGACAGACAGCATAAGTTTGTACTTCTTGGGGCTCAACACTTCCACCAGAATCCCAGGTTTGCAGGAGGCAGGGTTTGGGGATTCTGATTCCTTTTTACTCATGTTTTTATGACAATATAAAAGTAGTGTGGATTTTCCACTTCACCAATGTATTTTATGCTTTTGCACACAAAAAATTGGCAAAAGTCACCCATTTTATGTTTGTGCTATGATTTTACATTGTTTGTAGTAATTAATCCACTGAAAATCCTGCATATGTAACTAATGTTTCATCTAATTGATCTTTTATTATCTCCCTCAGGTTAATAGTTAAATGTGCAAACTAATTGTTGGAAGCCAAAACCATGTTGGATCTTCTAACATAAGCAGCTGGAAAAAGTTCTAATAGCACAACTTTTAGTCGTTAATGGGGATAAACACACATCCATCAAACCTGTGATTGGTTAAACACTTGCTTAATTCCTCATTGCAAGATTGATCCTGGCAGAATGTTAAGAAAAACAGGAACATGGAAAATGGTTGATATGCTGAAATGATCTTTAAAATATTCACATACTTCCCTTTCTGTTTCCACAGCGTGTTTGAATTTGCTCATCCCTGCAAACTAACCAAATTATATTGAGTTCTTTTGACCATATTGCAACAAAGGATTGATCTATTATGGCATGTTTTTTTGATTGGTTAAATTTTCCTGAAGCTGACTAAAAAGGGCAGGAATGGATATTCAAGTCCTTTAAGCCAAACGAAAAAAAAAAAGGAACTGCTTGGAAGTAGCAAGTGCCAACATCAGCTCATTTCTTGTTACTAGTCCGTGAATTCAACTCGCGGGAGTTTCACAACAAATTAACTGTGGGAATCTATCTCATGTTGGGTTGCATACTTTGGCACGTCGGATGGTCTGAAATGGAGAAATTCGGGCTCAACACTATCGCAAGTGAAGTAATGATAATAAGAGCAGGCCACTCTAAGCCGAATTATGTGCATCTTGCACACACGGTGTAAGTTACTTTCAATAACACGTAACTCTAGAACAAAATTTTGTGAGTTCCATACATATTAAAATCTAAATCTTACGATTTTTTTTGGCCAAATCTTGGCCATAAACTACCATGGACGTTAACCGTCCCTGCCCCTCCTCCACCACGGAATCATATCACCTGCCACATCTGAAGGATGGTACAGCTCATGGAACCCAAAAAAAAAAAAAAAAAACGGATAAATCCCAGGAGCACATTGAGTGTAACTCCCATTTAGGTCGAGGGTACAAATTCCGCCAACTCCTACTACATATTTCCTCGTTGGAGCACATTGTGTTTCCCTATGTTCAAAAAATTCAAAGAGTGCAGTAGTACACTTGTCTGATCTAAAGTTTCACCTTTCAATTCATATACAAGTCCAGTTGAGTTCTCCTTTCTCGTAGTGTAGGAGTATTGTAGATTGTTGCGATTATTGAAAAAAACAATTATGTGTAAAATGACAGTCTTTTTACTGGACGGGTGAATGAAATAAAAGAGGTATGTGCACCTGATACAGGGTCCTCAAATGTTCTGGAGAAATGGTCAAAAGCCCCAAGTTTGTAGCTACTTCGTCCGTGAAGGAAAAAAGAAGTCCACTCTGAACCAATTCGATATTTAACTCTTCTCCCAATCACTGGAAAGTTACTAACAGGAGAATAAGAGATTGCATTGCTCAAGATCATGATATCAGGGTGCTAGAAATTTTGACAAATGTAATTTACTTAGACAACAGCAGTTTGCCAGAAAACAAAATCATCAGGTTTTTATCCCCTAGCAGAAACGGAAATTTCCAGTATCACCTTTCACCTTGAAGATAAGCCATATCAGCCATCCTCATATTTTAGTCGAACTAGTAATAGTTTGCGTACTTTGCACGTAATTATATTAACCCAAATATAACATCAACTTTGATTTTTTTTTTGGTGAAATTTAATTATTTACCTCATAATAGAATATTTTATATTCTCAATTTCGTTAACCAATTGTTGTTACAGAGACTATCTTAATTCAAACTCTTTGATTTTTGGTTTTGAATTTATTTTGAGCGTTTTGGTAAATTATGGATTCAACTTTGATAAACAATTCTTGATACGGTCATGTTTTCACCAAAGTTGTTGTACACTCATAATACTTTTACCATTAAATCATAATATTGTATTTTTAATGTAGCACAAAAGATGTTGTTAAACAAAACATATATGTACACTTGTCAAGTGTGAACCTAATAAATAGAATTCATAATTATTAGTAAAGACTTAAACCATAAGATCAATTTTTGGAGGGTATTTGAGTAATTGAATTGGCTTGTTAGATTTTGTTATCCTAACTGTTTACATTAGACTCACCCCTTCCTTTACTTCTTCACAAGCTTGGTTACTAGCTAGAGTCTAGCTTCACCTTTGAAAAGAAAACCCATGCTTAAATTTTTGATGAAATCATCAAAAATTAACGAATAAAAAATCTTCTATCAACATTTCGAATGTTATTGCGATAACATTTTGAATATTATTTTTTTTCTTATTAAGACAAACAACATGCAATTGTACAATTAGAATGAATTAATTATTTAAGAATAAAATATGTGAACCCTGCTCATATCCAACTTTGCATGAATATTTAATTATTCTACTTTATATCTTTTTAATTAAACTTTTAAATTTTTTATGGATTTGAATTGAATAATGTTAGGTGCATTTGTTGAATTTGGATTATTTATTTTTTTATAAGTGTTATTGAGATTAATAAAGAATGCAAATGATTTATATTGCTCAATTTTCTTAGATTGGATATTTAGTTGTCAATTGAAATTCAATTGATAGAAATGGTTGGATTCTTTTGTTTTTGTATTTATTCATATTGATTAAAAAGCATGTAATTACACATCTATCTCGTGATATTCATACAAAGATTCTCTAAATGAATATCGACTCTTTTCTTTCTATATATTTCTCTTTTGTTCTAAAGCACCTATTCTTTTATACTGATATATTTTACAATTTTAAAATTATGGCTAATGCAGTTGGCCACACAATTTCTAGTAAGAAATTGCTTTGGGTAAGAAACTTTGACACACATAAGAATTGGAAATGGAGTGTAATGGTCGCTAAATCGTTTTAATTGGAGATTTTCATTTTAATTACCAATATTATTGAGATTTAATCATTTGGAATGTTTTATATTTGTAATTACTGCCACAAATTGAAATAAAATCACTCTAATTGAAAGACACAAGAGGGTAATATAGGTAAAACAAAAATGAAGACAAACAAGTTTCATTTCTCTTTTTGGGAAACCAGAAAGTGACTTCATACCACTCTTTTTGCTTAAGACCAGTTTGCATTAATGTATAAACATCAAACTGAAATATCTGTACCAAAACAAGGAAAAAAAAAAAAAAACAGATAAAAGATAAGATAGGCAACCTCAAGTGATCACCCAAATAAATGTAATAGGTATCTAATAGTTCGAAGGACTTGACTTGTGGTATCATTATTATATACCAATCCTTTCTTCAAAAGTACAAGAATGTCATCTCTGAGTTCCAGCAGCAAGTTTTAGTCCATTGTAGAACTTGACCCTTGGAAATGTACCAGATCCTTCACAACTTTGACAGAAGCTAAGAACTTCTTCCTTCTTCAGCCGTTTTTCGCGCACCGTTATTTATTGACACAAACACTAAAATAACAAATAAACAATCAAAAATACTAATAAAATGATAAAAACTACCCCAACTAAGAACCCTAAACAAGTTCTCGGGCAACGTTATCGATACAGATGAGGGATTCTGAACCCTGAGTTCCTGGTTCTGTATCAACCTAGAGCACATTGAGTATAACTTCCATTCATTAAGGAATATAGAAAGTGTAAAATGAGAAAAGTTTCCAATCACAGCACTCATTCTTTCTTTGCAATCTTAATGTAGACACCATCTCCAAAGCTGAGAAGTGGGTTTCTTCCAATATTTCCAGTCTTCACTACACTCCACCTTTATGTTTGAACAGCAAAACACCAACTAGTTAGTCACCTCGGCATTGATACAAAAGTATGCATCAGAAAATATTGAATGGTCACAAGTCCTTAGTTAGCTAGTCATGTCACAATATTGAAGTTACCTGTACTTGGTGACCAACACATGGAGAAAAGTTGATAGTAGCACCTTGCTGTAATCAGCACCAGCACACTGTCTCATTCCTGCTCCAAAGGGCATAAAATTTTGTTCTATGGCAGCTTTATCGATGTCCTGTACTCATAACAAGTACAAAGAATTGATAAAATAAATCCATCACTAAGTGGTAATGCATCTACTACTAGAAAGCAGCAGATATGTACAGAATCCTAGCTACAATTCAATTTCCACGTAACTATCCTGGAACTTGTAAAATGATAGAACTCAATGGATCACATTACATTGCTTAAAAATAGCTGGTATGACAAATTTGCAACATGTTGAAAGCATCAAGCAAAAGCAAGCAGTTAATGATGTAAAAGAAGCTAAACATATCAAATCATACACCTCAGAAACAAATGTATATTAAAAAAGCACCTTCCAACGTGAGGGGTTGAATTCAAGTGCATCATCAAAGACGCTAGGATTTAACTGCTGAGCAGAGGCAGCAACCAAAATTGTCCACCCTGCTGGAATTGTGTAACCTATAAAGAGATTCTAGGATGTTAAAGAAGAAAGTTCTTCAACTTGGTTATTTAATCCAAAGATTGGTAGCATAATTACCATTAACTTGAATATCTTTAAGCGCTTTACGTAGTAATCCTGGAGAAACATTTGCCAACCTCAGAGTTTCATGGATTACCTATCATTCACACTCATCATTAAGACATTTTGATAGTTGCTATTTATGCATATTTAAACAATAATTTTTGAACATAGTAGAGACTGACTTGAAGAGTGAAGGTCATTGACTTGTACTCATCCCATGTGGGTGAAGATTTCACTCTTTTCCTGTTCCTTAGTATAGTCTCATGCTCAGACTGGTAACCACAAGAAGTCAGGGTTAGGATGCCATTAAATACAAATATGCATGTATTATCAGTCTGAAACACAAAAAGTATGGAAATTAGAGTACTGTAAGCATCTCTAATGCAGAAGGGTGTTGAGAGAGCTTGAGCAAAGCAAGCGTAAGCGTTGATGAATTTGACTCAAAGCTGGCAAATAAAAGGCCAAACATCACTTGCACTATAAGGTCTTCTCCCAGGAACTTCTCTGTAGCCATGTCATCAATGGCCTGATCGAGGAAGTCTTCTTTAGATGTTCTAAGGCCAGCACGCTTCTCATTTAATTTGCTTTTGATGAATCCCGTTATTTTCTTCTTTGACTAACAAAAAATAAGAGAATCAGATTTACAACTACATCATTAGTGTAAGGTTTAAGGAAATGAAACATATGTTGGAAGATATATGTATACTTCTTTATCTACCATAAGAGAATCAGATTTACATCGGTATCATTCGTGTAAGGTTTAACGAAATGAAACATATGTTGGAAGATATTTGTATACTTCTTTATCTACCATTACCTTCATGCAGTCGTGGAATGCAGTTCTGGGAATGTTTAAAGGAAGAGACATAAGGCCTTCAAGTATCTTGTTGAACTTCTCACTCAAGTCATCTGATGACTTGTCAGAGTCATAACCAAGAAAAACTTTTGCAGTGAAATTGAATACCATCTGCAGTAAGATTTTTGGTAATTTAGAAGATAAAATTCCATAAGCTATTGAGTAAGTACTTGTAATTTGTAAGAGAAAAGGTGAGCTTGTTTAATTAGCTAATATACAGCTCCAAATGCACGTTTCACTTCAACAGACTCCTGATTTGACCAACTGTCTAGAGTTCTGCATGCCATTTCTTCCAGCTGGGGAAGCAACTTCTCCTTCAGTGCCTCCACACCCAAGTAATTCAACGTTCTACTTCTTATGTATTTGTGAATATCACCAACTGCAGTTGTCCTAGAGTCCCCTTCTTGATTAAAAAGCTTAGAAAACGTATCCAAATACCATAACTCTACTAACTTCCCTTCTTGTGAAAGTATGAAATGGTTGACTTTGGGATCAGCTGATACTACAATAGGCCTGCCTGCTAAACTAGTTCGGAAAATTGGACCAAATCTGAAAGACAAGAAAACAGAATAACATTATAATCTGGTGGTATTAGTACAGCACTTTAATTTATTGGATCCAAGATGTGAGTAGGTTGGAAGCATGGTATGGAACAATGGGATGCAACCAAATAGGCGACTTTTTAGAGACAATTTTGGTTAGTTACCTCTTTGCTAAACCACTTATGCACCATATCCTTAGGAATTTTAAAATTTTAAAAATTATTATCCCTTACTGGAATATTAAGGAATCAGATAACTCATAGAAATATTAGTGCGTTAATTATGCTTTCATAAAGTTAAATCAGCTTATATCAACTTTCAAGAATATTTCATATTCTGTTATTTTTAGCTTCCCCTTTACTTTCCCTGAGCAAGAAACCTCCAAAGATTTGCAGAGGGAAGAAATGTTGTGTATCAAAGTTGTTCCATATTACCTATCACTTGTTGCAGAAAATTGAAAAAGAGGAAGAAAAGAATGTAGTAAAGTTGAGAACTGCTGAACATACAATTGTAATAGTAGCATTCAAGTGCTGACTTTTGAACAGTTAATTTTTCCCGGTTCACTAAATGAAGATCTAGCAGAAGGCTTTTATCTTGACATTGCAAGTTTCAATGGTTGAGATCCGTAGTGCATATATAGCTTGATTATCAGAGGAATGAAAAGGATCAATTACACAATACAAGACCCCATCTTTTTCTGTAGCAGGCAAACCAACAAGCCAAGTGATCTATAGCTATCATTGTAATAATTTCTAGTCTTTAAAGCATTCTCTGTTCCACATGGTGCAGTTTTATCATTACAGTTTTCCATAACACCACGTAATTAAGTCATATTTGAAAAGGCCATGGAATGGAAAAATAAGACCATACTTTGAAAGTCTCTTCTTGATGAAGGGATGGAGGTCCAATGAGCGGCTAGGAATGAGTAACTGTAGAGTCTCTCCAATGAGAGGCAATCCCATGGAACCTGGGGGCAGAACTCCATTCTCGCATCTTGGATGCATCCGTCTCCATAACCACTGAGTTGTTAAGATCGTCAAGACTGCTATTACAAACACAACAACTGACAACATCTTCTTTTTCAAGTTGTGTGATCAAGAAACAGTCTATTGTTATACTGCCCAGCTTCCACGCCCTCTCAGGTAGTAAATGTTCAGAAGAAAGTCAGATTATCATATGTTCGACCTATCTTTAAAGTCCAAGCTAAGTAAAGCTGTTTGTCCAGAAACTTGGTTCAAATATTACTTGATAATTGTTCTTGACTAAACATTGGTCAATTAAGAGATGGTAATGATCTAATTGACTAATTCTTGAAGAGACAGAGGAGTCCATGTCCACGTATATTTTCCTTTTTCCTGTTTTCTTTCTTTCGGAAACCAGAAAATGACTTCATCTCAGTCATTCTTTCAACCAGTTTTAGTTAATTGGTTTTTTAACCTTACAGTCAAAATATGTGTACCAAGAAGAGCGGATAAAGTCAAGATAGGGAACCTGGAGTTATCATCCAAATTAATGTGGCAGGTATCTGGGACTGGGAGTTCAAAGGACTTCAGTTATGGTATTACAGTATCGAATGTACAGTGGTTTAGTCCTGAGAAATTGAAAATGACAAATCCATTGTTTAAAGTAACAAAATAAATGCTGCATCTGGGCACAACATATCGTCTTGAAATCAAGCATTAATTCGCACTCCATAGTCCATACTAAAACGCTGAAAGGAACCCGCCAGTTCAAATTGAACCAATTCCAATCTATAAGACTATAAGTACATCCCAGAAGATTCATTGGAGGCCACGGCAGTGCAAAACTGGCCTTGGAGACGTACCAGATTCTGAACACAAATGTACATACAATGTATCAGTAACTGTGATCTTTTGGTGCTAAAAAATAAAACTAATAGGACAGAACCCTACTTAAGCACTTTATCTCAAGCAAACTAATTATGCCAATACCAAGCCAAAAAGCCCAATGCATGCCATGGAGTTACACCAGACAATATTAGACCTCAGAATGAGCCTAGGATTGGTGCAGCTCATAGAACTAAATGCAGCTCATTACCTGAAGCAGATTAGGGATAACTCCCATTCAGGTGAATATTAAGTGCAACATGGAGGACTTTCCCAGGACAAACCAATGCAATAATATAGGTACGTCTAGCTTGAACAGAGTCCCTGAAAGTATCAGAGAAGTCTTCAAGAGCCTTGAGTTTGTAGATATTTCATCCTTCAAGAAAATAAGAAGCCCACTTGGAAACATATCAAAATTTAACTTCTCTCCAAAATTTAATTGCTCAAGATCATGACATCAGGACATCAGAAAACTTACCTTAATGTAAGTAACTTAGACAACAGCAATTTGCAGGCAAACATAATCATCAGGTTTTCACCCCCGCCCAGAAACAGAAATTTCCAACATCACATTCCAGCTTGAAGGTACGCCATATCATCAATTGTCATAAATTAGTTGAATAGCTTTCTTTTCAGAAGCATCTGATGCACACCTGACTTTCGGTAGAACCTTGGTCATTCATCCACTGTGAAAAGAAACTCAGTATAGTATAACCCTTTGGCATTGGCCGAAAAATGAGGGCAGAAAGCTGTGGTTGTAGTTTCATACAAAATCAGTAGCCAATATCTAAATTTATATGAGTGAGCAACGATGTGGTGAGATAAGCAATAAGTTGGTAAGAGAGCATTCATTTTGGAACTTGCCTATACAACACGCAAAACAAAGTGATCAACCATCAATCCGATCACATTCTTTAGCAAACTTCCGAAGTTGATATCAATCATTAAAGGTTAACAAATCCAACATTCTTTTTCATTGGATATCTCATCATCAATTAAACTGCCATTTTCTGCATGTATACTGCCAACTTTCTTCATTTCTGAATTCTCAATGAAGAATTCCAATCAGGAGAATGATTGAGTTTACTTGTAATACCATAATTTGTTCCCAGTGACAAATCGTCTATCCTTCTATAACTATGTTGTTTTTTCAGCACATGGCCCTGCAGTGTCATCCTTGGCTGTGCAGCTTCATCCATTTTGACAACAAGAATACAAGTTATATAGCAGCATTAAATCCCTATACCTCTTATCCCATCATCCAACATTTCAAAGCTTTCATCAACTCCACACATTTAAAAGTACACAGTTGTAATTGCATTTATACAAAATATCTCTTCTGGAAACTGCCATACTAACTATTGGTGACCTTATCTTCCTCACCAAGACAAGCTAAGCCAGTACAAGTAACAAAAAAAGTTCTTAGAGTAGGCCTTGCATGATTTTAACACCTGCAAAGAAATTCCTCAAATCCTTATCACTTTGACCACCTTGCACAAGCCCATTGTTCATTGTGGTCCAAAATCCAGCATTCTTCTCTGGTATTTCTTTGAACAACAACATTTCTCTCCTTAAATCTCCATTCAAGCCTTCAATCACTCCTGTCCATGATGAAACATCCTTCTATGGCATCTTCTCAACAAACTGAAAGCTTCATCAACCTTCAATCCTTTGATAGTTAAACCTAACATAACACAACATACACAGGAAAATTGAAAATCATTACATCAACCATTCTTTCTTCAACTCCATGCAGTATATACCTACATGAACCATTAATACTCCAAAATTTCCATTAATAGATACACTGTCTTCTATTATACTAAGATTTCTGAAATTGTACCATCTTTCTTCATTTTTGAATGAAGATTTCCAATTAAAGTATATACTTGCTCAGTTTCACTATGAGATTTATCGCCTACAACAAAAAGATGTATTCCGTTGCCAACTTGAATCCAGCTGCAACCAGGCTGTTTTTTGAGCCCCCGATCCTTCATAATTATCCTGAGCTCTGCAGCTTCTCTCCATCTCCCGCTGCCAGCATATATGTTAGATAGCAGTGCAAAAGAACCAGCATTTTCTGGTTCTGCCTCTAAAAGTTTTTGTGCAGCCAGTTTTCCTATAACTGCATCCCCATGAACATTACATGCAGCAAGAAAAGATCCCCAAGCATATTGGGATGCCTTGCTAGGAAGCTGCTTGATGAAGTTAGAGGCCTCCTTGAACCTCCCATCTCGAACACACAGATCAATGAAGCATGTATAATGATCTTCTCTCAATTTTATGGACCTGTCATTCACAAGCATATCAAGATATCTGAAACCCTCCTCCACTAGACCAGCATGGCTGCAAGCAGTAAGCAATCCCACATACGTCACATCATTTGGATTCAGTCCCATATTTTGCATTTCGTGAAACAATTTTATTACCTCTTTACCGTGTCCATGGTGAGCATAGGCTGCGATGATACCATTCCAAGAGACCAAATCCCTCTGCCCTCTTATCCCATCATTAAAGACCTTCCTAGCTGTTAATAAATCTCCACATTTGGAGTACATACTTATAAGTGCTGAAATGATAAAATCGCACTTCTGATAAACAGTCTTGCTAATTAGCTGGTGAATTTGCCTTCCCTCAGCAAGAGAAGCCAAGTCACCACAAGCAACCAAGACACTTACAAAAGTTCCTTCATTAGGCCTAACCCCACTATGTGCAAGCATATCAGTGAAAATCCTCAATGCCTCCTCACTTTGACCACCTTGCACATGTGCATTGATCATCACAGTCCATGATACAACATTCTTTTCGGGTATTTCATTAAACAGCCTATTTGCCATTGCCAAATCTCCATTTTGGATAAAGCCTGTTGTCATTGTATTCCATGATGTGACATCCTTCACTGGCATCCTCTCAAACAAATCAAAAGCTTCATTCAACCTTGAATTCTGTGCATAACCAGTAATCATTGCATTCCATGAAACAACATTCCTCTCAGGCATCCTCTCAAACAACAACTTAGCTTCATCCACTCTCCCATTCCTTGACAAACCTGCAACCATAGAAGTCCAAGAAATCAAATTCCTTTCTGGCATCCTATTAAAAATCTCCCTGGCCTCCTCAATTCTACCATACTGAATTAACCCCGCAATGACTATATTCCAAGAAACCACATTCCGCTCGTCCATCCTCTCAAACAACCCCAAAGCTCTATCAAGTCTACCACATTTCACATAGCCATCGATCATAGTATTCCAAGAAACAACATTTTTTTCAGGCATTTCATTAAATAGCCTCTCTGCCTCCATAATCCTCCTCGTTTTCACAAAGCCATTAATCATCGCTGTCCAAGTTACCACATTTTTCTTAACATCAACTCTGTCAAACAAATCTCTTGCTTCATCAATCATGCCACATTTCACATACCCAGTAATCAAAGCCGTCCACGAAATAACATCTGGGTCAGGCATTTTATCAAACAGTTCCTGTGCTTCAAGAATTCGACCCTTTTTGCTCAGCCTACTGATCATGGAGTTGGCCCTCGCTACATCTTGATCAACTGTGTAATCTATCTTAGGTATTGAAAATAATTCTGAACTGCATTTGCGTCCTCTAATTGAGTGAAATGGTTTACATGGCCTGAAAAATATGACATTTTCAAGTAAAACCAACAGGTTTGGGTCTGAAAGGCTAAGAAAACATTGTCTTAAAGTGATTATTTTTTTTACTGCAAAAAAGGGTATCATCATTTGAGCTGAACTTTGAAACTGCTAACTAGTAGAAGCAAGCAATAAGAAAAGTTTTTATTTTGCAATGAATAATTAGAAAAGTTAGTTTGCAATTGGAAAGAAAACTTTGCAAGAATTCAAATAAGTATTCATCCGAACTCATCTAATTTTTAGCACAATTCACAGTACAATTTATAAGATTGTTCTCTTTGGATATGTCTAATGAGTGATATAAACTCTAGAGACCATAGCGGGGATGAAAATATACATTTTTTAAAAAGTAAAGCTAAATTTGGAAGAATGGATAAATATAAGGGACAGGACAAGAAATATATTATATGTTTGGATAGAGTTTTATTTAAAACATATTATTTGGAATAATTACTGTAGCACTTTTTGTGATATGATATATGTGAGATAAAAAGGTGGTTGAGAATATAAAAAAGTAGATCAGAAAATGTGTTTATGATGCAAGCGAAATATTATTTGAAAAAATCTGCTATCCAAACATGCTAATAATTTGGACAATGCTTGTTAAAATTTTCTTTTTAAAAAATATATCTTTCATTTAAGATTAGCTACAAATTTACAATATGTTCCTTGATGCGTCACGTGTTATAAAGCCATTCTTTAAAAAACTTCATTGTAGTGTCACTCTTTAAAAAATCCATATTTCATTTAAGATTAGCTACAAATTATGTGGTTTTACGAGTACTTTTAAAAAAATTTACTGTAATTTTGTAAATCAAAAAAACTTTTACCATAGATGTATTTTGGAAGTGTTTTCAAAATTTAAAGTTTTATTGGGGTGATTTTAAATATTTTTACCATAACAACCAACCACCACTAGCCACATTCGCTGCCACCCTCCTCCTCCTCTCTCTTACCTCTTTTACTTTCGTATCATTTCTCTTTCGTATCATTTCTTTTTCCTGCTTCTCCCTCTTCTCTTTCCTCCTCCTCCTTCCTTTTCTTCCTTCCTTTTCCCGACAATCCTCTTCCTCTCCCTTTTTACCGTGATCAAATTTCGTCGTGACCAAATGAGAAGGAAGGAAAGGAAGAGGGCTTGCGAGAGAAGGAGGGAAAGAGAGGATGGGGAGGGGGAAGGAGAGGGAAAGGAAGAGGGAGGGAAGAGAAGCGGCGGCGGTGGTGCAGGAGGGGAAGGATGGTGGCAATGGCGGTATGTGTAGATGGTGGTGATAGGTGGGAGAAGAAATAAGTGGTAAGGTTTATTTTATTTTTATATATTGTTTTATATTTTTGTTATGTGTACTTGAAATTATGTGTATTTAGAATATTTTTGAAGATGTTTTTGGAATATATAAAAAAATTGTGTGTCCATATGAATTAGGTTGCATTTCAAAAACTTTCCACTACACTTTAGGCATTTTGGCCCTGAACCATAATTTGCTTATTTTTCCAAAAAAAGATATATTTGACTTTGCATTATACATGTGAATCTCACTTTTAACTTTTCTCATCATATTATTAATGCTACTAAGAGTATATATCTCATCTTTATGTAATATGTTTATTTAACATGATGAGTCAAATTCGATATGGGGTTGGCTAAGTTTATTGTATCATATTAGGAAAAATAAATGAAAAATTAGGGGATAGATTTATTCACATAGACAATGAAGAGTGAAAAGTGAAAACTTTGCATATTTTCGAGAATACACTTTTTCTACATACAATTTATGCTTATCCACCTACAATTAAAAGTGCATAGGTGAGACCAAAAATTTAGAAAACCATTACATAAACTTGAAGAGGCAGGCTTACAAAAATTGTACATATCATATGGTGTACTTATTTTAGCTGCGATTGGCTGATTGCACAACTTCAATACTTAAAAAAAAAAAGTTCAATATCAAATTGATTGAAATTTCTAAAGTCAAGGACAAAGTTAAGTTTTTTTTTTGGTAAGAAAACATTGCAATTTTATTTTGATATGGAGACCAAAATGATGATCTTCGTGATAATCATTATTGCGAGAGCATTATTATACATCCTCACGAGCATTACCATATTTTGAGCACTCTGTGCACTTGCAATTGTGATATTCAAATTGGACTAAGGTGATGTAGTACAATTTAAATTGAACACTCAGTGTCCTTGCAATTGCAAAGACATTGGATTCGATTTTAATGTCACCCAATAATAAATTCATCATAGTTATCAAACAAAATTTGATATGGGCAAATGAGAAGAGAAAATTCGTGTATGAAAACCATTGTGAATTTCTTTTTCCAAAAAAAAAAAAAACTTGAAAAAAATTTAGGATTAATCTTAACCTAGCATTGAGAAGTTAAATACAGTCAACTGTAATTCAACAAAAGATGTTGGATGTAAAATCCTTAAAAAAAAAACTAGTTTGATGGACTTAATTCAGATATAACAAATTTTTATTTACTTTCAAATATTTATAATAATTAAATAGGTCTATAAACACAAAAAGTAGTAGCTTTTTAAAGTATTGTCATTGATCACTCATTAATACACTTTAACATATGAAACTTAACATGTGAATATATGGATTTACAATTACTATTCTCTCTTATATTTACACACTTTCCAAACTCGGTGTTATTTTTTTTTTCTAAAAATTAATACTACTTGAATTTCATGACTGACCACTCGTTAGATGAACTCATTAATAATTAGTAAACTAAATTAAAGAAAAAAAATACATCAACTAGATGCACTACTTGGAAGCTCACAAGTGTTAAATGCTCTTCACCTGAATAATCATACAATTAAAGCAATCTTACTTTCTTTTTTTTTTATTAAAGAAATCTTACTTGAATATGCTTCCCTTATTAATCACTTGAATAACTCACTAGATTACTAGTCCCAACTGTATTAAAAAATATAAAGGAGTACTACTACTCTTCTACTACTACTACAAAAATACACTACTAAGTACTAACAACCCAACATATAATACAACAAAAAATTTTATTAGTACTAAAATAAAGGCAAAACCAGCTAGCAGGGGGAGCTAGGGATCTACTGCTACTGCTACTGCTACTGCTACTGCTACTGCTACAGCTACAATCCGGTAGTATTCCACTATTACTCCCAAGAAAGCTCAGAAAAAGCTACTACTCATTACTCATTAGTTAGTGGTAGGAAAGTAGTAGTAGTATTTAGTACTGCTACCGCAAAAGTACTGCTGGACTACTATTTTTTTTCATCTGCTTGCGCTTCTTCTACCCTGTCTTGGTTTCTGTTTCTCTCTTTGTGAAATCTATTTAGGGTTTCAAACTGTAGCAGGGAAGCTTTGAGATCTGCTGGATTTGTGAACCAGAAAGTTCCCATTTTTGGGTTTGTGCTAAAAGGGTTGGAGAGTAGATTTGGGGGTTTTCTTTTACTTTTTGGGGTAAAATAATTTCTGGGTTTTCATTGTTTTGGCATTTTGGAAGATCTGGAAGCTTGTGGGATGAGCTTAAGGGAGCTGGAAATGGGAGTGATTGGTTGCTGGAGTGGGTTTGGATGAGTGATTAGTACTGGTTGTTGTAATACTATGTATATCTTGTGTTTGGTTGGGTGTTTCTCTGGAGGGTGGGGGGGGGGTGGGAGGTAAAAGGAGTATTTTTTAGCTTCTGTTGCTAGTACCTCGGTTTTCTTATTATTATTATTTTTGGAACTTTTTTTGGGGGGTTTTTTTTTCTGGAAAAGGGTAGTGTTTTTATTAGGTGGGTTTTGGTTATTCTGCAATGAGGTTATCTACTCCAGGGTTGAGTACTCCTCCTCAGCCAGAGGAAGGTAATGGTTCCATATCATTTCCTTTGTTTGGTTTGCAATTTTGCATACATATTCTCTGAGTTAAAATAGTTAATTCTGTTTAAGAAAATTCTGGTTTGAGTTGTTGTTTGGCAAATTTTTGACTCTTTGGTGAACCATGATTTCATGGGCTACAGGGGAGAAGAAGTGCTTGAATTCAGAGCTATGGCATGCTTGTGCTGGCCCGTTGGTGTCCCTTCCAGCTGTGGGAAGCCGAGTAGTGTATTTTCCTCAAGGTCATAGTGAGCAGGTAAATCTGCCGTACCCTGGCTTTTGTGAATGCATTTTAGGTGTTAGCGCATTATGAATTGGTAACCTCTTTTTGTGGAATTGTATGAAGAAATCGATTTTCTGTTGTAAATTGCGATATACATGAATTTCGTATACTTGCACTTCCATTCTAGTAGGCCTCTTCAATGGTGCTAAGTTAACATATTACTTTCCTCAAAGACTGGATGCAGATGACTTTGTTTGACTGCGTCTTGTTTTGGTCCGATGAAGTCAGCCGGATGTCTTGCTCTTCTACTCCTTTTAAGATGCCATTATTGAATGTTAGTTCTTTTGAAATTTATGACTTGTTGCAGTTTCCTCCTTCACCAAGAGAACAAACATGTTTTCAGCTAAGAGATAAAAGTAAATTAGTTAATTGCATAAGGAAAAGTACAATTGCTGGTCACCAGTGTTTGAGATGAATTTTATCAACTGACTCTGTTCAATATTGTCTGCTTGGTCAAGAACTTCAGTGGCATTTCTTGAACAAAATGTTTTTCATAATTGATAAAGTAGTAGGGTGAGAAGTTGTCCCTCTAGCAAATTTGTAGTGAAGCATTTAGAATTTTTTTGTCCAGATTAATTTTGTGGTAAATCTTGTCTTGTTTTATTTTATTTTAATTTTGGTCCTCATTCTTTTATTTTAACAGGTTGCTGCCTCAACCAACAAGGAGGTAGATGCTCACATCCCTAACTATCCTGGCTTGCCAGCACAGCTCATATGTCAGCTTCACAATCTGACCATGCATGTATGTATGCTTACTTAATCTCTGTCTTTTTGAATTTGATTGTTTTTCCTGACCTTATATTTAGGCCAAAGTTATTATAATTGGAATATTTGTACTTTCAGGCTGATGTGGAAACTGATGAAGTATATGCTCAGATGACCCTGCAGCCGCTAAGTGCAGTATGTCCATTTGCCATATTTTTGTTTGCCTCCTTTTGCCTGTTGAACCATGTATTTCATTTTAAGGTTCCTTGCAATTGTATTTGTAGCAAGAGCAAAAAGATGTTTGTCTACTACCTGCTGAACTTGGCACTGCAAGCAAGCAGCCAACTAACTACTTCTGTAAAACACTGACTGCAAGTGACACGAGTACTCATGGTGGATTTTCTGTTCCTCGTCGAGCTGCAGAAAAAGTTTTTCCTACTCTTGTAGGTCACATTAGTATAACTCCACTG